TATGTTTTTTGTTTGTTGTTGTCTCATACTTTTAGATATGCTGTTATTTGTAAATGCTACTGCTTATGTTAGCTTTCAATATACGGTTTTATCCTGATTAAAGCTTTAATACAGTACGGCAACCGCACGCGCGTCCATGTATAACGCTTCCCGAGGGCGGGGTTTATCAGGGTTTGTTACGAACCCGGGAAGTAACTTGTTGTAGTCCCTACCAGCCGTTTTTGTAGGCATTAAACTGACAGAATTTTAAAAGACAATATCTCCGTTTGCATTGAACTTTCAGCTTCGTAACTTTGCAGATATTGTTTATGCTCAAACAGCAACATTACACTCTAACGTTAAAAAAGTGAAATCGCAATCAGCCACCCCTTTAAAGTAAGTACATGTTATCAATTAAAGGGGTCATATGATGCAATTTCATTTTTTCCTTTCTCTTTGGAGTGTTACAAGCTCTTGGTGCATAAAGAAGATCTGTAAAGTTGCAAAGACTAAAGTCTAAACCGCATAAACACATTTCATTACACCAAATACACAAAATAATGTTATTTTTAGCAGCGTCATATGACCCCTTTAATATTATTTGGTCCTTATTTGTGTTTACGCTGCAACAAGGACGCCTAAAAATAAAGTGTAACCAAATATTTACGTATCTTAGACTCTGGTTCACGTGAATTTTAATGTGTATCATCTAGACACTAGCTATGTTTCCATCCAAAGTTACAAATTAAACTTATGCGCAAAATTGGAATATCGCATAAAACATTTGCGAATAAAGCACCGTTTCCATCCAGGGAGTTGAAGAGAACAAAATCATCACGTCCTGATTAACTTGCGCTAAATATCACAAAGAAAAACTAAAAATATCACAAAGAAACATTTTATTTGCTGCAGTAGGAGAAGGCACTGTATATAATAATCCTAGTATACAATAAATTACGAGCTTCAGAGCACGTAGAACGAAACACGGTCATGTTATCTTATTTTCGGAGTCTGCTGTTTGGGAAAGCAGTTCTGGGAGTTAATTATAACGAAGCACTTTGGCGAGACTTTGCTCAAGCATTTTAGAATGACAAAACTAGCATTTCAGATGCTGTGCAATGAGATCGGTCCGTTGGTTGGTCCAGTTATGCTGTCCCATCACAAAGTCATATGTCTTTTTTGATGCGCATTAAGGAAGTTTATGTGCATGTTTTCTAACCGGATAAGAAATTTATTCTACTTAGTTGAGTGCAGAAGTTTTTATGCACATTTTTAGAATTTATGCCCATCTTGCCGTTTCCATCCAGCGGTTTTTTTATGCAATATCCCAAAATGCGCATAAAAATAGGTGGATGGAAACATAGCTACTGACAATAAGTTATCAAAAGGACTGTAATCCGCCAAATCAGTTGGTAGACAAACAACTTTTTTCGGATGTGGTCTACTATTACTTGTTGAACTTATTGAACTTTTGAGTGCAATGTCCAAACATTAATTTACGGTGCTTTAAAGTAAGAAATTCCCCAAACCTGTGTAGCAGTAAACAAGGACATTGAAATGTACCACCGTAACTAATGTATCCATTAGGAATCTATTCTTTTTAATCTTTGTGACTATATTCTATGTGTGGGAGGCAAGACCTTGAAATGATTTCTACTTGTTGGTAGGTTACAGCTGCCAGTGGTGCCGTGTGCTTCATTAATCCCTTGTACCTTCAAGAGCATGGTGATGATTGGCTTACTCATTCTTCAGCCAGCACAGTCAATCTTCCAATGAACTTGAGGCGAGACAAACGGTTAAGTACCACGAGAGCATGGGCAGGAAGAGGACTCAAACAGAGGTCATCTACACTATCTGATGACAACTCTAGCAGCTTTGACCATGACAGAGGTAGTGGCTGTCTTTTATTTCTGTCAGCTATCTTTTTACTTCTATACTTTCAGTTTTATTTTCAGTTTTCTAATCTTTTCATGTGCCTTTGTCATTTTTGTTCGTTTTTTTTTTTTTTTTTAGTTTACAGTTTTTCTCAATTGCTTTGGCACATTTCTATTTAGCTTTAATTTATTTCAATTTTTTTTGGTAATTTTAGTACTTCAACAAACTTATTTTAAGTTTGTTTCTAAGGCACATTTCTAATTATCATTTAAGTTTTAGAAATTTAATGTGAGACACTACAGACAACAACAGATTTTTGAATCTGTTTTTGAAAAATCTTGTGCATCTGTCACTGTAGAAATTAATGTCTTTTTGGCTTTTCATTAAGTATTTTTTTCAGACTAATGGGGAAAAAAACATCCTAAATACACTTTAAAGTGTTTATTTTATAGCACTTTATCTATTTGCGCCTGTAGATTTCAATTACAGTGCATATCTTTAAAGCCTGTTTTCTCAGAATGCTATTTTTCTCCTGCACTGACCCAAAAATCTCTTACATATTGGTAGTATTTTCTGATTTCTATTATCTATCTAATATCTATTAGTTTGTTGTTGTTGTTGTTTTTACCCACCTGTGGTGTCTTGCCTTAAGTTTTTCATTAAATATTTATATTTTAAATCATTTTAGTTAGGAATAACAACATTGGTTTCAAGTACCCAACATGTAATGTTTATGATCTGTTGATAAAAAGGCAAATCTCAGTTAGGTAGTGTTATGTAGCTTAATGTCTTTGTTACTTCTCAAAGGATCATTTGAGAAGAATCCAGACTCTCCAGCTACCCCAGGTGGAGTTGTGCTTCGAAGGGCGAGTGGCACCAGCAAGGAAGACCCCCTAAAAAGAGCAAGTGTTGACTCCATTCAAAGCCCTCTCCCTCAGTCACCACACCGTGTGTCGTGGATAGAAGACAAGATATGGCTGAACTCATCACTTCCTTCCTCTCTGCTTCAACCGCCCGGCTTAGAGCTGGACTCGCTGTCAATCAGCAGTATAGAGGAGGAGTCTGAACCAGCTTTAAGCCCCTCCCCATCCCTGCCTTCGCCCCGCTTCCAGCTGGCAGATAAGATGAAGAACCGCCTCTCTGCCGTGGGTCAGGCTCTAGGTGGACTTGTGTCGCCACAGCGGAGACTGAGTAAACGTGTTCAGGAGATGGCGGAACGGAAGGGTGGGGCTTTTGCAGAGGCTGTCAGGGGATTTGTTGTGCTAACTCTTGCAAGCGGCGTCAGTTCTGGAGTGACCTGCACAGAGTTGCTGCAGGAAGTGCGTTCGTCTCTCACTGCTCTGAGGGGAACTCTGTTTGATTGTCCAGAGATCCAAAGCATCACAGACAGCGTCGGAGACACTCCGGATTTTGAGCTGGGTATGACCTGGAGATGTGTTGGGGATAGCATTATATAATAACAGCCTATCAGTTTATCTGTATTATTTTATCAACAAATACAATTGAATTACAGTTGAATCTCTGATCTCCATAATAGGCAGGCCTACACAGTGAACATGGGCTTTTTCTGGTCACACTTAAAAATAAAAGTGGTAACACTCTAGTATAGGGACAAATTCTCACTATTAACTAGTTGCTTTTTTAGCATGCCTATTATTAACATATTGGCTGTTTATTAGTACGTATAAAGCACATATTCTGCATGACCATATTCTACATCCCTAATCCTACCCAATACCTAAACTTAACAACTGCCTTGTTAAATATTAATAAACAGCCAATTAGAAGTTTATTGAAGTTTTGGCATGCACTCCCCTCAGCATGGTGGCGTGGGTATATCGTTCCCCATAGCGACCCCTAGAGGACGCTGTTCGAAGATCACTTGAAAGGGAACATCTCAGGTTACGTATGTAACCATGGTTCCCTGAGTAGTGAACGAGACACTGTGTCCTCTAGTTTCCTTGCCATGCTTCGGACGCAAGCTTCAGGTGAAGAAGCGGATGATGTGTTCTCCCGGCGCCTCTTTGTACTGTGGTCGTACCGGTAGTGACGTCATAGGCTGTCGCCGGCCAACGTGTTGTTGTTGTTTTGAATGTATGCTTCAGACACAGGTCACATCGAGGCGTTCCCTCATAGTTAAGTCATCGTTAATGGTTTGTTAATGGTGAGAATTGGACCTTTAAATAAAGTGTGAGTTTTGTTAATATATTAGTTATTTTTAAGGAAAGTGCAGGGAAATTGAATGGAAATTAATAGAGCCAAACAGTTTAATTAACAAGTAAGTGAACACTCTGAATTCAGCTATTCATGGTTCATGTTGCTGTGTTACAAAATGTACTATATCAGAACACAATTCATAATGCATTACACATTTCACAGCTGTGTCTGTTTTTTTTTATATTTGCATATGTGTCTGGAATTACAAAAAAAAAAAGCTGCAAACTGAGTGTGTCCTTAAAGAACAAACTAAAGCTAATGCTATGTGGTTAACAATAGAAAACATGTTTGGTCATGATGATACAGTTCATAGCACAGAACTTTCTAGCAGGAATTCCATACAGTAACAATTCTTTTATTTGCCTCTACTAAAACCAAATTTATTCACAAATCTGTTTTTCTCTCTGCCCTTAGATGCTATGCTGGAGCTTGCATTACATAAAGTAGCTCTGAAGCCAGTTTACTCTCACCTTTACGTATATCTAAAGACAGCACGCAGGGATGATGGCACTCTGCAGCGTTTAGAGGCCAACAAGAGCACCCTGGAGAACCGTAGCCTGGAGGAGCTGGAGGGCGCAGCAGGGGCCGGGGTACCTGATTCCAGCATGATGGAAAAGATCCAGCAACGCTGGACCACAATGCATGAGGCCTATTCGCCCAGTAAAAAAGTTGACACCCTACTCAAAGTTTGCAAGAATATCTACCATAGTATGAATGCTAATGCCAAGCCTGGTGAGTGAAGTAGTACTGTACAGTAGAGATGTAATGCAGATTCTCATGGATTATGTCAGTCTGTGAGAAATTCCACATTCCACTTCCTTTGAACGTTGACCTTGTATGTTGTCTGTTTATATACTCCCATTTCTATACAGTGGCCAAAATTTTTAGAACACTAGTATTTTAAAAACCAGCTAAAAATGGTTTTAAGTCAGTTATTTCTATCTTTTGCTGTAGTGTGTCAGTAGGAAATAGCAGTT